GTAAGGAACATGAGTAAATATTATATTCTGTAAATATTAGCGAAGAAGGAGTATCGGTGACAGCGTGCAAATTGACAAGCGTAGGAGTCTGCAGACGACGTGGTCCTTAACCCTAGAACCCTGGCAGTGGCCTTCATACCCTGATTGTATGAGTTTAGCAGACTGCCAGGGCACGACATGTTGACAGCAGCATGCCAGAGAGCTGAAGTTACCTGTAGGTGCCGCATGTAAGTGGTCTCTATTTTTGAAACTGAGATTATTAATAGGTAAGACGAAGGTCAAGGCAAGCGTAAAGGTGCCAAAGGTCAAGTGAAGGTCATTATCATAACATCAGTTATGTCTTGTCAGGTATTTGGAATGAAACTCAGACAGCATCCATAATGTTGTATGTTGCTGAAGTAAAGTATTTCCTTTGACTTCAAAGCTGTAAATACCAAGATATATAGCCAGTTACAGAAGTAAAAGATTTGGCACTATGTAATAAGAAGGAAAATGTAGTTTTTCCTTAATGGAAGTAACAAGTATGAGGAAAAGATAAATCATTTATCGTGAATAGCTTTGTAAAGTATATATGAAGTTTAGGAAGAATTAATGTTTTTTTGTAAGATGCGGCAGCTTATACATCACGTAAAATGATCGCAGTGTACAAGCATGATTTGGCAAATGTTTATCATGCACTATGATATTCATTCATACGGTGTTACAGTTATTACAACTTACTATTGTTCTTATTTTTTACTGTATTTTCATGTACAGGGTATTTATTTAAGATTTCTGATTTAGAGAGTTGCATTTAAACCATAGGTGTCTTTAGTGCATACAATACAATACAATGGTCATTGAAGTTTTGTTTCTTTAAATCTTTGCTTGCATGTAATGGCTCCAGAATTACTTAGTCAGCAGAAAGACATTTAAGAGTCCTAGATGACTTTGCATATTTATCCCTTTCCTTGAATTTTGAGCATGGAAGATTTTTTACTTGTACTACTATTGATATTGTTAATGATAGGGTAATGTTAATAATGATACTACTACTACTACTACTACTACACTAGTACTATTACTATTACTACTACTATTGCTATTGCTATTACTATTGCTATTGCTATTGCTATTGCTATTGCTATTACTGTTCCTATTCCTCTTCCTATTACTATTACAACAACAACAACAACAACAACAACAACAACAACAACAACAACAACAACAACAACAACAACAACAACAACAACAACAACAAACTACAACTACTACTATTGCTATTGCTAAATTCAAGGAATAGGGAGAAACAGGTAATATTGGTTAACGCTACAGTAGATTCAGTAACATCTGAATAAAAACGGGGATAGCTTACGTAGAAATATGCTTAGCTTGGTGGCACTGATTGACATATAAAGTTTATAATTTGTTATTCCTTGTTCTGATCAAAATTAGATCTCAACTGCTAATATTTATAGTTACAGCATGTCAGTACAATCTGATTGCTGCTCTTAGATTTTGGCATAAGCCCTTGGAAAATTTTTGAATGTGTGAATGGTCAGCTATCCATGTATAAATTTGCTTGTCATAATTATATTGTGCAACAAAACCTCATCACCTATACTAGAAAAGCTATTGAATACCTTGCTATAAGCTGAGGTATGTACAGATTGGTGAAATTTGATACCAACTTCAGTCATTCAGGACAATTCAGTCAGTCAGTACTATCAAGTGTCAGAAGCTGTTGGATATACTGTAGTTATATATTCTTTGGTAACTAAGTACTTGTGAAGCCATCAGTTTGTAAATAGAATTGATAAAACAAAGCCACAGTGGGCAGTGGAGGTATGCAATACTGATGGGTTAAGAAATTCAGTGAAAGAGTCCACTAAGAAATTTTACTTCTTCTAGAAGTATTTTGAAGGACTTCTCAATAAGAAAGTGACATGGCAGCTATGGCATCCTTATATGTATAGTTAATGTACTGTATAATCAGGAAATTTGACTTTACAAAATGTGTGAATTTTCATGTACCCTAAAATTACAAGGTAACTTAAAACTGCTGTAGCTTCAATGTTTTGCATTTTAGCAAATGCCAAAAATTATCTGCCAAATATTCTTGGACTGGTTGCATCCTTGACAATAGGTAGCCAAGGGTACATATAGAGAAAATTTGTTAAACTTTGCAGGGGCATCAATTTTGTCACTGGGGGTTCACATTAGAATCAGTTTATCCTGTTATCCTTTATTTTGAAAGATTCATATATGTGTAAGTGAGTGTAATATCAGAGTCTTTGTAATTTTATTATTATTATTTTTTATCATTACATAAATCAGTTTGGGTCTATTTTAAAAGATATTGATATTTTTACTGGAATTGATAAGATTATTTAAGATTGATTATTTTGTGTTTGTAGGAGAAGAGAGTAATATCCTTTGTCCGTAGTGAATAAAGTTAAGTATAAAACTCTAAAAGTCATGTATTTCATGTACGTCATATTTCTTGTCTTAATTGAATTTGAGTGATGGGTAGCAAAAAATTCAGAGTAGGGTATAACATCAGAAATATGTATGTTGCGAAACTTGCCAACGGTCATTGCTTTCGGGTAACCTGAAACACAAGTTATTTGTAAGAGCTCACGTATTCAGTTACAGTCATCAGTGGATTTGACAAGGATAGTTATTTAGTTACGTACTCATTTTTATCTGGTCTCGTTTTTATCCTTTAAAATCTTTTTATAGAATAGTTGTTATATTTGTTTTTATATTTTTCAGCTTGTCTATTTATATGTTTATATTTTTTCTTATTTGTTTTATTTTATGATCTGACTTTTTCTAAATAATGCTATCCCATTGACAGCAAATAAGGAATGTGATAATAGTGATGTAATATGATAAGGCCACTATTGCTATTAATTACTATTATCAAGATTATGACTATAATGATGTTAATGAGTTATTATTGTCATTATATCTTTATTTTGAATGTTATCATCCATTCTGTTATAACAATTATTATTTTAGGCATTTTAGGTGGTAGTAGTCATAGTAGTAGTAGTAGTTGTACTAATAGTAGTTGTAGTAGTAGTCAGGTTCGGAGATCGGGGTTGGGGTCGGGGTCAGAATCGGAGTTAAGGTTGGGTTTGGGGTCGGGGTCAGAGTCAGAGTTGGAGTAGTAGTAGTAGTATAGGAAGTACTTTGTTGATTGATTGATATTAATATTTTACTAATGGTATTAACAATATTATTATTATTTCATTTTGTGCATAGTATTATTATTGCTATTATGTTGATTCTTATCAGAAATATCAATATTGTTATTTACTTATTCTTTTAGGCAGTAGTAGTAGTAGTAGTAATAACATTAACATTATTGGTAATAGTAATAGTATTCACAATATTTTCATTTAGTTATTATTATTATTGGCATTATGATAATTCTTATCACTGATATGGATAATTTTGTTGTTTTTATTATTTATTTATTTATTCATTATTATTGTTATTTTTGCTATTATTATTATTATTATTATTATTATTATTATTATTATTATTATTATTATTATTATTATTATTATTATTATTATTATTATTATTATTATTATTATTATTATTATTATTGTTAGTTATTGTTATGAGTTGGCGATCCCTGATTCTGCAGGTCATATATATATAGGTCCTCTACCAACAGTACCCCATGATCCAGTGCAAGGACCTATTACAGAAGGCATCAAAACGAGATTCCAAGGCACAGGATAATGTCCAGGTTTCACTACTGTATAGTAAAACTAGCATTATCAGGGCCTTGAAAATCCATAGCTTGGTCCTTCTGCACACGTACCGGCATCTCCAAATACTCTTGTCGAGAGAGTTCATGACCCCTGCTGCTAGGCCAGTCTGTCAGCTGACTTGGTCTGACAGCCAAGAGTTATAAACTACACTACCAAGGTATATAAAGCTCTCTGTGACTTCAATGTCCTTACCACAAGCACATACCAACCGAACAGGTTCTCTTAACAAGTCCCCAAAGTCCTAGATCTTGGTCCAGTAGACCACAAGACCTAAGGGCTTTGCTGCATTTCTAAATGCATCTGGAGTCACCACTGAGGTTTCTAAAGACTCAGATAGAATAGTAATATCATCAGCAAAGTCAAGGTCTGTAACCTTGATATTGCCCAGAGTTGACTTTGAACAGTAGTTGTGCCCATTATCCAGTCCATGCAAGTATTGAAAAGTGTTGGTGCAAAGACACAACCTTGCCTCACTCCAGAACTAACAGGAAAGAAGCTCGACAGATGTATATATATGTATATAAATTATATATATATATGTATATATCATATATATTATATATATGTATATTATATATACAGATATGTATATATACAGATATATATATATATACAGATATGTATATATATATATATATATATATATATATATATATATATATATATATATATATATATATATATACACACACATATATATGTGTATATGAATATGTCTATATATATCAATATATATATGTATATATTTGTATATATATGTATATATGTATATTTTTATGTCTATATATGTATATTTATGTATAAAATTGATATGAATATATATACATGTAAATATATATTTGTGTATTTATATTTACATACATTAATATATATATATATATATATATATATATATATATATATGTATATACATATATATATATATATATATATATATATATATATATATATATATATATATATATATATATATATATATATATATATATATATATATATATATACACATATGTTTGTATATAAATATTTATACATTTATACATGTATATATATGTATGTGTGTACTTATGTATATGTATGTGTATATATATATATATATATATATATATATATATATATATATATATATATATATATATATATATATATATATTTATACATTTATATATTTATATATATTATATATATATATATATATATATATTTATATATATACATATATATATATAT